AAACAAGGTCCTCCCTACTATGTTATCAGGGCAGTGTCCCAGCAGTGGCAAGATGTGGTTCTTAGCTGGAGCTGTGATCCACAAGCACTGTAAGAATAAGACTTTGAAGAGTGTCTAGTGATATGGGGTATCTAACTGACCTCAGATCCTTTTGAAGGACTTGTCCTTTGGAAATTTCGGGGCATCCCACCCTCTTGGAGAACTGCACACCTCTATAGGGCCCATGTAAACTGTGTCCAGCTGGATGGCTGGGGTCTCTTGTCATTTCTGTTGTGCAAATGTGGAGGACGAGGGAACTGGCAAAGGGAATCAACGCTTGGTTACATTTGCAGAAGGATTTACAAGGCTACAGCAGTAACTCTGAAACTGCATAAAATAAGCTCAGGTAGCTTTGCAGTTTTCCCTTTGCTATTTAGTGGTTTCCCTCCTTAACTGCACAATATGGGTGTTCTCATAAACCTTGTTTCTAAAACTTTTTACACCAGTGAGCGTTTTCCTGGGGCAGGAGGCCCCTGCTGATCAGTGTAATTAGCACAGACATACCTTCATGTGTGCTTTGCATAAGAAAATACAGGACATGTGGTAAAATCTTTAACCAGAAAAATTATCTGTAAGTGTCTATCACTTAGGCTTTTATAGAACATCCATTGAGATACTGAGTAATCGAGTACAGATGAAAACCTTAATCAGAACATGATTGATTTCTGACATACCAATTCTTAAGCCCTTTTGTCAGGCCCAGAAAGTGTCTACTTCTAGAAGCCAGACAGAAAAAAAGTTGTGAGCAATCAACATATTAAAATTCTAGTTTGTGGCTCTGATTGCAATTGGTTTCTGTCTTGTTTCAATCAAAAATAGTTCTTTGCACAGAGACTGCATGGTTTAAATAAAGAAGTAAGCTTTTAACATCCATACATAAGGTTTCTTACTTGTACACTGCTGTTACATCTGAGTGAGACCAGGACAGTATATAGCCTAACAAAGTGAATGCAAGAAGATTGTTATCTAAGAAGATCAAATCTAGAAGACTGTTAACTCAGATTTACTGATATTTCTGTCAATACTTTTGAACTTCAGCTGCTTACCTGGCAAAATTGTCTGTCATCCATCATCCACAAAAACTGAATGGCTGGTAGGAGGAAGGTTGCTACTAACAAGCTGCACTTAGTTTTCTTAGTTCCTTGTACCCTTTAAAGCAAGGAAACTGCAAAAATATTCTGCAGGGGTGACTCTTGCCAGTAATGTGTTAAGGGAAGCAGTGTTTGCTCTTGGTTTGGCCTGCAGTTACTACAGAAACTGTGTCTGACTTTCTCTTCGTAGTTCATGCCTAGGCTTGCCTGGTGGCCCAGGAGACCCATAATTTAATCTGGTTAAGAATGCTTGTGCTGAGTTAGGGGCCTGATCTGAATCCCACTGAAATCTTTGGGTGGATTTCCATTGGTTTGAGTGAGCTCTCTATCAGTCCCATGAATGTCCATGCAGTGTAATGCAGTGGGTTTTAGTGGTTTGTTCTCTTCCTAGTAAGGATTAAAAAACCACTGGGACTGAGTGGGAGCACAATTTGTTGACTATTACTTAGCACATCTCACATTGACATGGACCATTCAAATTTTGGTTGAAACATTTTGTTTCTTAGATGCTTATTATTCAAATAGAGTACCCAGGGCTACGTTTTCAAATCAGTGATAACTGACAGCATCATGAAGCATTCAAGTTCAATGCATCTGCCTCATTAGAAGAGCCAGTTTTTCTTGTCACTGAAACGGGAAGCCAGAAATCCTCTCTGCTACTCTGGTTTCTGTGCCATTAACAGAAATACTTCTCAACCCCTGTGTGGTATCCAAAAAATGAAGAAAGCAAAAAAATAACCCACCAAGTTAACAAGTTCTGAGAACATTACTCCTGTATCAATGACAACCTTAATATTTAGAGCCAACTGGATTAATTGCCAACAACTTTGCTTAAATTTTTCTCTTTGTTGTTGCAAACGTGTGCAGTTGGGCTTTGGTTTTGCCTCCTAACATCCCCCTTATTGCATGACTGATTGCAGCCTTGTGATCTGGTTTCTCAGGTGAAGAATTTGTTGATTGTTGTCTTGCAGTTTATATGTTAACTATGGGAACAAATAACTCAACAGAAGGAGGTGTTGTAGGGATTCAGACTTCTCTTTGATTGTCCTTTGTGGAATCTAGTCACTTCACTCTTTTGTCACAGAATTTCTTAACGTAGCAGGGCCTGCCTGGGCAAGTTGGGGAAAATAGGAAGGAAGGAAACAGTTCAAAGTCCTGTCAACTGATGTGTCTCACTGAGGCAAAGCAGCCTGGCATTTATTGAGGGAAAGACAGTAGCTGGGTAATTCCTGAGACTGAACTGGGTGAGGGTCAGACCCCACATGAAAACTGTGGCCAGATTATGGACTCCAGGGTGAGGGGTAATGCCTGCTGCTGGTTTGCAGTGGGAATATTATTTTAGCCTTGATAATTCGAGAACAAAAGGAAAACAAGGTTTATAGGAAGAAGTCATGTCTTTTATTAGATGATAATATGATACTGTGAAAAAATGACATGAAGGCAAAGAAACCAGACTAAATTTCCTAAGCTTTGGCAAGTAAGACAGCATAAACTGTGGTCAGATTATGGACTCCAGGGTGAGGGGTGGGCTCCCTGTGATGCCTGCTGCTGGTTTGCAGTGGGAATATTATTTTAGCCTTGATAATTCGAGAACAAAAGGAAAACAAGGTTTATAGGAAGAAGTCATGTCTTTTATTAGATGATAATATGATACTGTGAAAAAATGACATGAAGGCAAAGAAACCAGACTAAATTTCCTAAGCTTTGGCAAGTAAGACAGCATCATCTCTAGAGGAGTCACAGTCTGTATGTCTGATTGTGCATGAAGTCCTGAGAGGACTAAACTGCTATTGAGAAGAACTTAAGAATTATGTGCATCATCCATCAGCTTTAGGTGACAAATCTTGTTCTCATTTGATATTTTCCTGGACACTGATTTTGTCAGCAGAGTTATAAGGTGCCAGATCTGTGGTAGTTGTTCCCAGCTGCATTTTCTTAGAAGACACTAGAAAAGGGATCAGTTAACTGCATTTGCCTCAGACTTTGCATGTATCCCAGCTTTTTCCTCTGCAAAGCCTTGGGGATACTCCAGTAGAAAATTCTTAGACACTTAAGATATTTCATCAGGCAAGTGTCATCTCTTGGTGAAATAACTTGTGGGGACCTGAGACAGCTCTGGCAAAGCTATGAGTAAATCCTGTAGGGTTAGAATGTTACAAGCCTCTTAGGTTTACTGACAATTCACCACCAGGCATACCTAATGTGAGTCAAGAATGAATCTTTGAAGACTTACCTATAGGAGATCTGTACCTAGCTGCATCTGTCAGTCCAACCCCCTCCATGGATGGATTCTCTCTTAAAATGAGAAAAAAAGCCCCATTATTTATCATGCCCACTTGTCACACAGGTCTCTTCCCTTTTTCTTATGCAGTTCAGCTGCAGTCTGTAACAAAATTGATGTGATCAAAAGTTTCAAGTCAATGGAGATTTTTTTTTTATTCTTTTGACCTGTCATCGTGCAACAAATTATCTCAGGCTTTGATTTCTTTTTCATTTGAGTAGTTATTGAAAGGTCCCCATTTGTTAAGGAAATATTTCTGTATGTGAGAAAAAGAAAGAGGATTTTTTGTTTGGTTGGTTGGTTTATCTCATTCCTTAAAACAAGAGTTTCTATTCTGTTAAGTCTTGGTAAGTTTTTTTTTCTGTGTGTGTGTGGTGCAGAAAGAAACTGTAAAGAGCAAAGAACTAACTGTGAGGTGAGGAGAAAAGAAATACAGAAATAGCCAGAAATTCAAGGTTTAGGGTACTCTTCAGCAAAGATGTGTGCTTCCTGAGAAGCCAAGGGAAAAAAGGACACATCAGCCCTTCACTGAATGTGCCCTGCCTAATTACTGCCTGGAGTTTGAAACAATGAAGCACTCATGAAAACTTTTTTTTGTATGAACTCTTCAACAGAGGAATTCACATTGTGTACAAAATGCCTCAAAAATGACATAAATCTGTACTAATACTGTGAATATTTGCATAGATCACTAGGAAGTTTAATATAACGATAAATAATTTTCAAACTGAAGAATACCAAATGGGAGGGCTGCATAAGGAAAGTAACTGTGGTGTGTAAAGCCTGCTAGAAGCAATCAAATGCAGTTTTAATAGTTGATAAGCTCAGCACTGGTTTTCTTATGGTGAATATTTCACTGAAATATTTCACAGATGTTTCTGAGATAGACTGATGGACACGACAGAATGCAGTGTTGAATCAGTTCAATATATCTTAAAAGAAGAAGCTGATACTAGAATAAAACCAAACAGGCTGGAAACAGCTTTGAACCCAAGGTGTTAGTTAATTTAATGGTGCACACCTGAATATTGTTGCATTCCTTAAAGCCACATGATTTCCTGCCCTATATAAACCCTAAGTGAGCTGAGGGAGAGGAAGAGTGAGGGAGGATTTGGGTGTTGGTTTTTTGTCCTCCCCACTTTATATGGTTGGTGTGGGTTCTTGTAGTCTTTGATCTGTTCTCTTGGTGAGTCCTTGTAAGGCAGATCTCAGGTTTTCCACAGCTCTGGGCTGAGAAGGTAATGTGCTCTTCAGTCTATATCTAAGACCTATGTAATTGGCAGTTGTTGGCTGATTGTTATATAACAAATACTGTGTTTTAAACTTCTGATTTTATACTCTGCCAATTTTCTTAGTGTGATTGCCTTCTAGTACTGCATTAAATTGGTTTTGCTACCCAGAACTAAATTTATCAGTTGTTTGGCAGTTGGGCTTATCTTGGCTCTCTCTGTCGTGGCTTATGCAGTTTTTGCAGTGTTTGTTCTTGGAACTCCATAGTACCTTAATGCTATTAAATCTTTCTAGTGTAGTGTCTCCTCTCTGCTGATGATTATCCAACTGCTAAAGTACCTTGTGCACTTCAATTTAAAATGAAAGATGAAATTGCTGCCACAGTCTTCTTCATTACAAGGCTAGTGAAAAGGGAAGACAAGCTGAGCAAGCATAAAATGGAAGAATTTGCAGCTAGGCTGACAACAATACTGTTTGAGAAGTATAAGAATCACTGGTACTTGGACAATCCATCTAGAGGACAAGCTTTCAGGTAAGAGGACCCTAAGTAGAAAAGGGGGAATGGGGCCTTTACATAACATTTAAGATGCAGTGAGTACACTTTCAGTGCTTGGAGCTCTTTAAATTGGAAGTAAGTGATGCAATAACTGAAAGAGAATGGTTATCCCTTAAGCTTGAAGGCAGCAATGTCATTAACTGGTAAAGATTTACCTATTTTGAAAGTGGGTTTCCAACATGTACCTGGGTAGGTATGACCAGGGAGCTGAGATGGAAATCTTAAGGCAATATGCATAAAGTGTCTCCAGTAGCCTTCTGAATTCTGGATTTTAATGCAGAATTCATGTGGCCTGAAGTGAATTAGTGGAGTTGTTGTTGCTGCTTTGAATTATCTTAATTACCAAGTTGCTGCATTATGTGTTTAAAAACTAACAAAATCTTCTTTGGGTTTATAAAGCAGCTTGTTAGGCTAACTTGCTGGTTGGGGCTGTAAGTGACCTTGCATCATCAGGCCAAATGTGTTGAGAAAATAAACACTTAACTGCAGTGTACTTCTGTATGAGCAGAACCTGCCAAGCTGCAGTGACACCCCAAATCCACCTGCACTTTGTTCTCCTCTAGGTGTATAAGGATAAACAAACATCAGACAAGAGATCCACTACTGGAGCAAGCCTGTGTGGAGAGTCGTGTGGACTTCAATAAGCTTGGTTTGCCAAAAGAGATGACACTGTGGGTTGACCCATTTGAGGTGTGTTGCAGGTGAGTTGAAAAGCTGTGTCCAGCCTTGTGTGGACCTGATCCCCTCCCAGCCTGTCCCTAGAGTCTGGGGGTGTCCTGACTCACTGGTGTCAGCTGGGTACTAGCAGATGTCCATGCTGCCTTACACCAACACCATCCCTTTCAGGTATGGGGAGAAGAACAGGCCCTTCACAATTGCCCACTTTGAAGGGGAGGAGAACCCAGAGCTTCCTCAGCAGATCAGCTCTGCTGTTGACAGAGCAGCTCTAGACTATCATTCGGGTGTTTCCTCGGATGAGGAGAGCTTCAGCAAGGAGCCAAAAGCTATCCCCACTGTCAGCAATCCTAACAGTGTCTACCAGGTAAGCATGGGGAATGGCATGTGGCTTTCAGTGGGAGCTAGCACCCACTCTCTAGGTCACCTCCTGAAGGAAGGCAATATATTTACAACTCATGGACAGATTTTTCTCATCTTTCCCAACTACTTTAATATTTTCTCCTTTCTCACTGTCTAGTTCAGTGACTACTGCAAGACACCCATTCAGCCGTGGTCTCAGTATCTTCATAGGAAGACATATATGTCTGATGGCTCCTACTATGCCCAGCACAGGGGTTACAAAGTCTGCAGGCCAACAGCTGGGTTCACAGGACCGCGTGTTGACAGATACCACTGGATCAACACCAAGCGGTAGATCTGTGGCTGCACCTACCTGGCACAGGCTGTAGCATCACTGAGCTATGGGGTGGAGGCTGGCACTGCAAAGTTTCATTAAAAACAAAGCACTTACTGTCTAATCTGTCTTACTTTGTACATGTGAAACTTTGGGGTTTTATTATGACCTTTTAAATGTTTTATTGATGTTAACGTAAGATTGAAAATGAATGTGAGACTCTACTTGTAAAGTCAAAAAGGATATGCATATATCAATAAATCTACACGTGGTTTCTTTTTAAAGGTGTCTGACCTGATATCAGTGCCCTGGAGGGAGTTAAAGCTTTTTGGTGAAAATGGAAGCAAGCTGAGGAAGATAAAAACATCCTCTAAATTGCTTTGAATGAGTCTGCTCTGGTTTTTTGGGTAAAGGTAGTAAGGGAAATGGTACTGTGAGCAAAAGATCTACATATTATGAGCAGAATCATCTCTGTGGTTCCCCTTGAGTGAAGCTCTGGCATATGTAGCTGTGAAAGACTGCTTTGGGGCTCCAGATTGACTTTTCCTTCCATACTATAGCTTACTTCACAGAAGAACACAGCCTCCTTGGCAAGAGAGGGATGAGTATGTGATGGTGTAGCTTCTCCCAGCTGTAAGTTAACACACAACCTCCTAGAATGATGGAGCTGTGATCTCTAAGGGTGTCTAGCCTGTCAGTTTGCCAATAGAAGCTTTTTTTCATAGCTCTGAACAACTGGAGTGATCTTCTGGTGAGTCCAGATCTCCAGACAGTCACTTACTCCATCTCTGCTTGCTGAATAAACTGTGGGGCACAAGGGTTACAGAAGTGATGTCAATAGCTTCTGTCTTGTGGTTAATTTGGTTAAAGTGCTGAAGAAACGTGTTTGTCAAAACTTGACACCTTCTGTAAGTACCTGTGGTTGTCACTTCAGCCATTTCTACTTGCTGCAGTCCAACTGTTCTTACCTAGTAAGCAGTTATGAGAGGGGAAGAATTTTGTCTTGTAAAAGCTGACAACTAGGAGCCAGTTCAAGCCTGCAGGGCTACAGGTATAATAGAGAATTAAAACTATAGTAAGGTTTTAGTTAATGTTGTAGTAGGTGTGAAAAGCAAACATTTAGTGTCAAGCCATAGGTGCTCCAGCTCTGTCCTAGCTTGCCTTTCATATACTGTAATTCAGAAGCAGAATTTCCAACATAAACTTACACTGTTAACAGCTTAATCACTTAACTATAATCAGTTGTGGCTTTTTTCCTAGGAAGATAAATTCTTGCCAAGCTTAAGAGCAGGGCTAGTCTTGGACAGTGCAGGACCTGTGTTCCTGTATGGGTGGTACTGCAGAGCAGCTGGAATAGTGACTTCAGAATAAGTAGATGGGCTGGATAAGTTGCTTCCAGTGCTGCTTTCAGCATCCTCTTGCTCTTGGTATGTTGTGTAGATAGTTACTGGAGTTGATTATAGCTGTACCTTTCACTGTCTAAAAGTCAGAAGTAAAATATAACTAGGAGCTTGTGCCTACAGAGACTTCAGAACATGGAATGATAGGTTAGTTGGAAAAATTGTGTTTTAACACTAAACAGACTTATGAGTAATGGTGTACTTCTCATCTTTTTGCCTTTTTTTTTCTCTGTTGTCTTTTCACCACATAGATATAGCCAGAAATATCAGCTGCTTAGGCTAAACACTTGTAGTTTAAATCACTATATGGCTTTCAGTCCTAATTTAATAAGCCTTTGGTATGAAGGGGAAAAATACACTCTGGTTAAAACAAAAACCCAAGATTTATTTGGGTCCAAAGCCTGAAGACAATTTCAAAGGACCGAGTTAAAACCGAACCAGCAAGTCTTCCTTTGACTACCATTACATCTTCTTGGCTAGGTCTATTTTCTCTTCTAATGCTTTTATTTTTTTTACCAAACAGTCTTTCTCAAAAGTAGTTATTTCAAGGTAGTAAAAAAGCAAGTCTTCGTTGCCTTTACTGCTTAAAAGCTGGTGTTCTTCCTCTATGATATGCACAAGCTCTTCAGTTAACACATCCACTTGATCCTCAAGTTCTGAAAGGGACAAGCAAGTGGAAGTTTCCTCTTCAAGGCTAGAAAAATGGAAAGGAATGCTTAAAATTGGACAGTAGAAATGCTACTTCAATCTGTGATATACCCTGGCATCAAATCTGTTCTTTTATATGATGTGCCTGGAATGTAGATAGCGACAGAGATTGGGTTTGTACTATCAAAGAGGTAATGATGAAGAGGTGTCATGATTTGTTGTCTATCCACCCCCCAAAACTGCTTAGTTTTCGCTGTCTTAATGCAACATTCAATACTGCATCCTGTCAAGTCATTCTTACCGTGTTCTCCATCCAAAGCTGCCCTTTTCATAGCTGCTCAAGGCATGAAGCTCTTTCTTCTTCACAAGGAATTTGTCATTTAGTGGTTCCTCAAATTTTGTATGGAGCAAGAGATTATTCTTCGTGTGTTATGCAATAAGCACAGAAGTGCAGAAAGAAGATCAGTGTTAACTTTAAAAGCCTTTTAATAGACTCTTTAAATAAATTTTTCAGGGCACTGCTTTTTATGCTGTCTTAATGATTTGCATGAAGCCAAATGATTTGTCCAGATAGGACTTTTTTTTTTTAGATGAAAATGGCAGCTGCTTGTGTAGCTATTGCACCTGAGAGCACTTATATTTGCATGTATGTAGTTGAAGATATGCACACTTCAACCTTTGCACAGTTTTCTCTTCAGGATGTGTGGGCATCTATAAGTCAATTTAAATTGCCATTTTGTAACTAAGAAAACAGGGATGGCCAGCATTCAATCACAGTTTTTCTCTTCAGGATGTGTGCTCTTAAAACATCAAAGCAAGCAAAAATTTTCTTAACATTGTGTTTAAAATAGTGACTGTGGTCTGTCACAGATTCACAGGGTGGTTGTGGATGGTTTTGGCTATCTGGCTTATAAACATCTCTTTGCAGAAAGCCAATGTTGTGTCGTTCCAATACATTTGGAATACCTTTAAGCCCAGGCGTTTAATCAATGTATACAGCTTCTGCTGACATCCCACAGGAGTCTGACCTCCCCAAGCAGTGACTTGGAGAGGTAGGCATCTATAAGTCAATTTAAATTGCC